AATGGACCTGTCAAATGTCAAATCTGATGTTTTTGTTTTGCTTTTTGCGCACCTTCTTTGCAGTTGTAACTTTGTATTCTGCACTCTTGTTCAATCACCCTATGATCTTTGTACAGTTTGATGTACCTGTACTGCACATAAAACAAAACTTTTCACTGTACCCAGGTATGTGTAACAATAAAGAATCAAATTAAATCAAATTGAATTGAATCAAGAATCCCTGTCACAAATCTACAGCCTATTCAGCTCAGTGTGTTGGCACCTATCCTCTGAATAGCATCCCACTCAGATACACAGATACACCTCTCCACCCTATTCCCGTAACCCTGTTTTTCCCATGGCCAATCCACAGAACCTGCACATACCTGGACACTATGGCTAATTTAGCATGGCCAATCCACTCAACCTGCTCATCTTTGGACGGTGGTGGAAAATGAGGCAGGTCCCATTTCAAAAATAAACAGAATAGTATTATGCCACAAAGTAGTCCACTGAGTGACCAGAGGAGAAAATCGGTGACACCCCCAGTCCCCCGAACACTGTGTTGCAGACAGTACATTACCTTGCTGCTGCCTGTGCCTTTAATAGAAGGATGTGTAGAGCAGCCGTTACTTTCTGTAACATTCACTATCTGCATGTATCAGCAGGGCTAACAACACATGTGGCTACTGCTGTTTAAAGACAACCTGCACTTCTTAGAGGGAAAATGCTGGGAGATTTTCAAAGTTAATATGTTTTATGATACTTTGCAAAATGACTGAGCATGGGACAGAACAAACTCCAATTTGTCACAGAGTGCGTCCAAGATCCATACAGCAAGCATCTTGACTAATTTGTCTTCGAGCCACATTCTTTTCCCTTTGGCACTCTGTGATCTCCCGACCACCCTGCAGTTCCATCTACTGGGGTAAAGGACATATCAATTTTCGACCTTAAAGGTTAGATTTTGGCCTAGAAGCAATGTAGACTGAAATAATGCAAAATTGCACACATGCAAATGTTGTGTTTTGCAACTGGATGATCACTGGGAGTATTCCCGTCTTTAACATCCAACTCCTAACTTACTGGAAGTGAGTTTGCTTTTGGTCACTTGGTGCGTGACACCATAGGTTAAGGAGAAATGAACTCGAGTTCATGAGGCCAGATTTCTAAACCCTATGCACAAAGCCGTTTGAACGATCCCAAGGCATGAGCAGCACAGGTTGCTGTGTACCAATGTTCTGAACACTCTCTCCATTTCCTGAAATACCAGAGTGAGGCTTGAACTTTGAACTTCTGACCTAAAAGTAGAGAGACATTGGAGACAGTACAGAAGATGTTTAATGAGAATGGTTCCAAGGTTGAGAACCTGTATTGTTGAGGAAAGTTTGGAGAAATTGGAAATGATTTTATTATAAAGGAGAAGGCTGAGAGGAGATTTGATAGAACTTATTTAAATCATGAGGAGTCTGGTCAGAGATAGGGAGAAATTGTTCATGTTCTTCAAAGGACTGAGAACCACAGGATACAGGTTAAAGTGCTCTACAATGGAAACAAATGCAAGGTGAGAAATAGTTTTCTCACATCGCAAGTGGTTTGTGTTTGCAATGCACTGTCTGGAAGTGTGATGGAGACAGCTTCACTTGAAGCATTCCAGAGTACATTGGATGATTATTTAAAAAGAAACAGTGAGCAGAGGTATGGGGAAAAGGCAAGAGATTGCACTAATTTGAATTGCTCAGTCACAATGGACTGAAAGAACTCCTTCAGCATCACGGCAGTTCTGCGGCTCTATGTTTATAGCATTAGAAAAATCAAATGCAATTTAAATTAAAGATCTTGGAATTTAGCAACTGTTTATCAACTTTTAGTCATCTATTCATGGGACTCTCAATATGTTGATAAAAGTGACCTCAAAATCATTTAAAAAGGCACTTTCCAATAATTCATTATGTAATATAAAACAGTATTGACCTGAACCTTTACTGGAAACTCAGTATTTTTGATGACTAAAGTTGTTGCAATCATTTTGGACAAATAATTTTATAATTGTTACACACCGATACTTTTACACATGAAAGAAAAAAATCAGTTAGAAAATAAAAATCTGAAAGGTTTGCTGGAAAAGCAATAAAAAAGCCAACACCTTACTAACCTTTGCTCTTCGTCAAATATATTTGGGCATGTCTTTTAAAATGTTCGGACTGTAGGTTTGTGATTTCTTTAGATTTTAGTTTTAATAAAGATGAATGCTGGGCTGCTTAACTTGGCAACTGATTAAACATTTAGATCCACTTGGAGTGGGAAGGCGAAGATCCACTTGTTATGGTCCACACAGGTAGTGGTGATATTTGCAGAAAGAGGAAAGAAGTTTTGCTGAGGGAATATGAGAAACTAGGGGCTCAATTAAAAGGTAATAATCTCTGGCCAAGAGCTAATTGGCGCAAGGGTGAACAAAATTTAAAAGGTAAACGTGTAGCTCGAAGAGTCATGTGGGAGAAACAGGTTTGAATTCATGAGATATTGACACCAATACTGAGGAAGGAGGGAGCTGTTTTGGTAGGAGGGGTCCACCTGA